GCTGCCGGCGGAGGGCGCGCCGATTGGCCGGCCGAGGCGAGTCGGGGGGCGCGCGCCGCCGCCGCCCGCTCTGATTGGCTGCGGCCGGGCGGGGGGTGGGCGCTCGGCGCCGCCCGCCTGCCCTTGAGGGGCGCCTCAGAGGGCGCCGCGGGAGGGGGGCGCCTCGCGGCGCGATTTTCCCGTTTTTCACTTATTTCTTTGCCCAGCTCCGTCCCCGTCGCAGCAGGCCGGTCAGGGCCCTGGGTCGCCCTCGTCTCTGGTGCCGCAGAGAGCGGCCCCGCCGGGAGCAGGGCAGGGGTGGGGAGATGTGAAGCGATCCAAAGGGGCCCTTAGACACACAGGTAATTAGCGCAGGTAATTAGCGGCAGGCGACAGCCCCGGGTCTGCCCTCCTGAGGTCCCACAGGCCCGCGGTGTTAAACACTCCTCTTTGTGGGACGTTCACCACAACTGACTGAGTTCCTCAGGCTCGCCGGGGCTGTGGCAGCAGGAGCGGCCTGCCGGCGTTGCCCTTTCCTTAAATAAATATTGGTTTAGCCGTGGGAGTGCRGAGAGAGTCGCCTTTGGCCTGCCCGGCCGGCCCCGACTAGCGGGGCGGCTCTCGGGGCCGCCTCGGGCCCAGGTTTAGGAGTTGGGCGTCTCCTGGGGCTGCAGCTCCGGGGATGCGTGTGGCCGGAGGAAACCTGGAGGAGAACGTGCCCTGGGGCCTGGCCTCGCCCCGTGAGGGCTCTGCTGCTTGGGCCCCAAGCGCCACGTGCGTTTCCTAAGGCCACTGCCGTCCTCTGCGGGTCCTGGTGCGTGATCTTGCCCTTTCTGTCGCATTAGGCACGTAGCTGTGCACTGAATTGGCTCAAAAGACCGGCCTGGCTGAAAAATAATCCATTAAAACCTTTTTTTTTTTTCAGCAGCATCAGTTTTTGCAGCACCTTTTCCACAGTGTGGCCTGTGGGTGACAGAGACTACTTGAACTGCTCAGCGTCTAAATACAGCCTCAGGACACCCACGTTCGAGTCCAGAAGCTGAGGAAAATGCCATTTTTGGCTTGCATTCAATATCCCTCAATTAGTTCAACCACAGCTTAAACTTGTTTTTGTTTATACTTGTGCACTGAAATACATCCAGCCTTGAAGTACAGGCAGAGAGGACGTGCAGTTTGTAATTTTGACCTTTACTCAGCACTAGCAGTGTTTTAGTTGCTGAAAATATAGTGCAGTGCAGAGACACTGCATTAAGAAAAAAAATAGGTGCTTACAATAGCACAGGGGTAGTTACATATTGGAATTTGGAGCCTTGTTGGATTTCTTGTCCCAAACCCCCATCAGGGTCTCTCTGGGTATCCCCATGTGTTCGGACAACCTGATCTGAACTGTTTCCCATCTCTTTGCCAGCTCAACTCCCTGTAAAAAGCGGAGTCTTTCTTTAGCCTTCACCTCAAACCCCCTGGGCTAAGAAGGGGAAAATCAGCCCTAAACCCACCCTTCATTGCCTTAAGCTGACAGAAGCAGCGGCTCCTGCTTAACTCGCAGGAGTGCTGGAGCTTAGGGGATGCTGCGGGATTCGTGTCACTCGCAGCGGTCGCACTGGAGCCCAGTGACCCGCTTAAGCGCTTGCAGGATTGGGAGCTCAGTGCCTCAAGCCCCGTAAGCGGCTTGGTGGGAAGTGCAGCAGAAAGGTGCTGCTGTCTCCCCTGCAGAAGCAGCAGCCTTTGGAAAGGGATATTGGAACTACTGCAAGCCCCCGGTACCAAAATAATCGTAGATTACCTGAAATACTAGATTAGGTGCCAAATTAGGTACTGAAATAATCCTAGCCCCTAAAACCTGCGTGGGGGCTTTGCCTGCAGAGCCCCCTTGGGGTTGGGCCCGCGTCCTGGTCGTCTCCCTGCTCCGAGTTTCTGCCTTGCTTGTGTCCCTGCAGGGGTAGGTGTCTGCCACGGCTGACTCATGTCCCTTTGAGCCAGGAACTTAACGGGTCTTAATTACCTCTCTGGTTAGCAGCCTAGAAAAGGCTAAACCCGCCTTCCATTTTTAAGATGCCCARGGGGTGTTGCCTGTACACGTCCACTGCCTTTTTTCATAGGAACACTGTAATTGTGAGGAGAGAATTCAATTTGAAGAGGACARACCCTGTCAGGTTCAGATGAGAGGTAAAGCGCATGTACGTGCGTGCAGAGCAATATATGTGGTGACTGAACTGGGTCTAAACAGACCTCAAAMAGGGCCTGACTGGTGGGGGAAGGCGAGTTCTGCTGGTCCTATGGGTGCAGTGAGGGGAGTCTGGCTGCTTGGGGCTGGTTTGAGGCCCCTGTGTTGCCTGGGGCAAGGTTGGATCTCAGGATGTCATTTCTGGATAACAAAAGGCCGTTATCCTGCTGCAGAGCCATCTCCTCAAATCCTCCCCCGGGGGAGCCAAACCCGGCGGCAGGGTCTGGGAGCTGAGCTCAGGTGGCTGCTGAAGCCATCCTGCCCCCGAGAGGGACGTCAGCCCCTCGCACCTCTCTTCTTGCAGCGTTTGATTGCAGCATCCCTCTTGAGGGAGCCGCAGTTTGTAGCAAACGGTATTTCCCTTCCGTATCCTAGGACAGCCAATGTTCCTGAAGAAGCAGATTGGTTTTCRGGGCCCAGAGCCCTGGTGGGAGTTGGAAGAGGCTCAGTCTTCACGTTTCACTCCATAACTTGGAGCTGGACAAGCTTCCCTAGGGARCTAATGTGCAGCAAGGACCGAGCCCTGGAAAGGTGGCAGGTGATSAGAGAGTGGGAGAGCTTGAGGCTTCTTTGAGCCTTTATGGTGTCAGCGTGTAAGGAAAATGGGACCATTTCTACCCATTAATGATTTAGATGAAGCCATTTATTTTTCAGTCACGTTAAACTGAGACTTTTTTGTCCATTTTGCAGCCTAAAAGGCTAGGTTCCTCTTGAGGTGTCCTCCCTAGCTGTTGGTGCACCCCTGAAGGGTGCTGCTTGCTAGGAAATGTGTGTGTTATCGTGTCGGGTTGCAGTGACGCTGCCTAGGAGAGTAGGTGGGTGACACGTGGGGTGCAGGGCAGGCCAGCATGTGCTTATTTACCCTGCAAACCTCCACCTTGTTAAGCTGCTGCACGTTTGCTTGTGGGTTAATGAGGGAACGCGCTCGCTTGGACTCGCTGCAGGTTTTGGCCTGGTCTGTGAGGAACAGGAGGAAAACACAGGTCCGTGGTGTTTGGATGGAGGCTCCTTAGCTGCTCGCGCCTAATCCTGGTTTCTCCCCTCAGCTCATGGTGGTCTCACGTGGAGATGGGTCCCCCCGACCCTATCCTGGGTGTGACGGAAGCCTTCAAGCGCGACACCAACTCCAAGAAGATGAACCTGGGCGTCGGGGCGTACCGGGATGACAACGGAAAGCCCTACGTGCTCAACTGCGTTCGTAAGGTGAGCCCTGCTGCTCGACGGGCAGGATCGCATCCCAGTGCCGCGGGGGGAACRCGGAGGGCGCCACGAGCAGTCCCCAGGCTGGGTTTGCCCATTGGTCCTTACAACACGCTTTGTCTCTACTAGAGCAGGACCCTGTTGCTAAATGTCTCCATTAGCAGAACTAATGCCACAGGGAGACAGTGGAGCCATCTCTTCTGGAAGGAAGAATAGGAAAAGGGCGTCTCACTCCTATCTGAGTAAATCTAACTTGTTGCTGCCTTCCCCAAGCCCTCTAATTGAGCTCTCCTTTGTGCTCAAAGGTGATTCTTGTGGATAGCCCCGTGTTCCTTTGGCCAGCCTGCAGGGGAGGGAAGAACCAGCATTGCCCCTTTATTGGATTAGAAATTCTGCTGAACCTTTGTTACCAGTTTGTCCATAAGCCAGTCTGAAACTGCTTTCAGTCGGGGAACTGGATGTGGATACTGCCCTTGAGAGGATTATGGAGAAGGTTAGGGGAACTTTGCTGGAGCCTTTCAGAGCTGGGAGTATAGAAATGAGCTGATAAATAGCTGTTAACTGGCTGCCCTCCTTGCAACAGGGAGGGTGCCTGGCCCATGTTTCTTGTCTGCCAGGATTTGAAAGTTCCTCTGCTACCCCTGCAGCCCAGGCACAACCACAGAGCCTGARTGGTGGCACAGAAGGAGCTTCCTGCAGGCATCTCTGTGCTGCCAGTCTCCCTCCAGCTCCTCTAGGAGCAGGAATACAGTTCCCAGAGCACTTGGGATGCCTCTCTGTCACTGTCTTTTCCTTTAGGATGGCTCACAGTCCACTGTGCTTGCTGCCCCTTGTATTAGATAAGGACGTTGGTTGTTTTCCTTGTGCTAGGTCCACTTGAAAGGAATTGAAAGCAGGTTAATATTTAGGTGGGCTAGGGCTGAGATTAGCAAGGCTGGGGGAAGCCCAGCCTAGGAGACAGGGGAAGCAGCTTTCAGGTAGGCTGCTTTCAGAAAGGGCTGAAGTTCCTGGGGATGTCAGTGCCAAGGGTACCCTACCTCACTTTGGCATGTATCTCCCTTGAGAGTCAGCCTCTGCTGTTAGGTAACAGCCAGGTTTCCCCTTGCAGGACTGTTCTAGCTTCAGCCAAGCAAAACRTGTCCCTGGGCAGCAGCATTAGCTGCTATCCGGTGCTCTCCTCTAGCACCTGGTTACCCAGCTCTGCTGCGCTGTGCTGACCAGCACGGAGGGCCCTCGCTCACAGTGGGAATCTTGCCCTCGGGAAGCAGTGAGATACCTGCAGATACCATGCTGGTTTTCCAAACTCCTCTCCCACAAGATCCTTTGTTGCCTTGGAGCAGCAAATGGGAAGAGATCCTGAGCTGGGCGCTGTGAAGCCTTGCATATCAAATGGGTCTCCTTCTTTGCAGGCAGAGGCACAGATAGCGGCTAAGAAGATGGACAAGGAGTATTTGCCCATTGCGGGGCTAGCGGATTTCACCAGGGCATCAGCAGAGTTGGCGCTGGGAGAAAACAGTGAGGCCTTCAAGAGCGGCCGGGTAAGGAGCACGCTGGAACCTCGGGGGTGGGCAGTGCTGCTCAGTCCCTATGTGTGTGCCGGGGAGGAGTGGAAGGGCTGGCCTGGATACTGCTCCCCGTAGCCACAACAGTAATYGCTGCCTCTACAAACTGTGGCAAACCAGCCCTTCCTGCGGACTCAAGCTCCCTTAAGTCCCACCTCTCTGCCCTGGTAGGGTATTAACCAGCATGGACTCAGCCCCAGAGCTCAGCTCTGCTGGAGGGCATATTGAAGGAATGTGTCAGGGTTGGGAGAGGGGGACGCACATTGCCAGGGCACAGCTGTGGGTTAATGAGGACGGAGTCTGAAAATTGGACTCACTGATCCATGCGGCGCCTTCCCCTGTGTCCCTTTCTGAAGGAGCTGTTGCTGGGGAGTGCCTACACCTGCCAAAGCTCGTGTAGGGAGCTGTGTGGTGTCAGCTCAGACTCGTCTATCTGTGTCTTCTCTTGCAGTATGTCACTGTGCAGGGTATTTCTGGAACTGGATCTCTGCGAATTGGAGCCAATTTTCTGGTGAGTCTMTGGCCAGTGAAGGAATGAAAGGAATCTTTCTTCGGGAGCTGAGGTTTCAGGTTTTTCTGGATTCCTGAAGCTGTTCAGTTTACTTGAACGTGCTCTCCTTCTCTTGGTCAGCAACGGTTCTTCAAGTCTAGTCGTGATGTGTACCTGCCCAAACCATCGTGGGGCAACCACACACCCATCTTCCGTGATGCTGGCCTGCAGCTTCAGGCTTACCGCTACTACGACCCCAAGACTTGCAGCCTTGACTTCTCAGGAGCCATGGATGACATTTCCGTGAGTTGCCTTGGTGGCCTGGATGCTGGAGGTGGTGTGGGAGGTGTGTAAGCCTTTTACTTTAGCCTGAATGTGACAGGGAGCCTGGTGACATGGTATCAAGACCAGAGACTTTGTAGGGCTTCTTACACCTGTAAGAGCAAGAGACATCTTGTATTCTTGTTCCTCCAGAGCCCTGGCATGGCAGGGCCTTCTAAGCTGTCTTTGTGGCTACACAYGTGCCTAGGCAAAGAAGAGACTCCAGATACCATTAATCATTCATTCTCTGTAACATCTTTCCTAGAAAATTCCAGAGAAGAGCATCATCCTCTTGCATGCTTGTGCTCACAACCCCACCGGCGTGGATCCCCGTCAGGAGCAATGGAAGGAGATGGCTGCTGTGGTGAAGGTGAACGGGGGAGGGTCCTGGTGGTGCTGTGCTATTCCTGTGAAAGATGTGGCTCTGGGATTTCATGGACAGCGTTGGGTCTCTGCTGAGCTGCTGGCTACGGGTGTCTCGTTCCTGCACCAAAGATGGGAGTCAGCAAGGGTGGCCATTCAGGTCCAGCTCCCAGCTGACCATTGGGAGCCCTGGTAGCCCAGGTCCAACAGTCACTGTGGACTAGACACCTTCCCAGGGAGAGTGGGGAGCACAACAAGGCTGGAAGAGCAAGCTGTGATCCTGGGGCTTCTCCTGATGCTGCTCTGTTTGTGGAGGACCACAGCCACAATGGAGCAGGCTGCTGCCCTGCTTCCTGCAGCGTGGGAAGCTGGAGGGCACAGGAGGGGTGTCCAGCYGTCTCCATGACGCTCTGTCCCTCTTCTCTGGCAGAAACGGAACCTCCTTGTGTACTTTGACATGGCCTACCAGGGCTTTGCCAGCGGGGACATCAACCGGGATGCCTGGGCTGTACGGCACTTCATCGAGCAGGGCATCAACATCGTGTTGGCACAGTCCTACGCCAAGAACATGGGGCTGTACGGTGAGCAGGGAGGCGCTGGGTGGACCCTCTGCCCTTAGCCATCAGCTAGTGTCTTTGCAGAGATGCCTGATAGGCTCCTGGTCCCCACTGCTCCTTGTGCCCATTGTGGAGTGTTAAGGGGTCCCATTTTTTTCAGGGGAGCGTGTGGGCGCTTTCACGGTGATCTGCAGTGATGCCGAGGAAGCCAAGAGGGTGGAGTCGCAGCTGAAGATCCTCATCCGTCCCATGTATTCCAACCCGCCCATCAATGGAGCCCGCATCGCCTCCCTCATCCTGAACAGCCCTGACCTGCGGAAGGAGTGGTGAGACGGGAGCGCCAGGGCTCGCGGGAGCCGGCAGGGACGTCTCGCCGCGGTGGCCGCGCGTGGCGCTTGCCGCTCGGCGCCGTCCTGGTGCCTGCCGCTTCAGCGGGGCCCACAGCAGCACAGGTGCTCCTTTGCCCCACAGGAACAGGGGCCTGCTCGGACACCTGTGTCCCAGCATCAGCTGAGAGCAGCCCAGCCCAGCGCGTGGGGGCTCCTCTCTGATGCTGGGGTGGAAAGCGCTGATGGGGATAAAGCTCTGCCGGGATCTAAAGCTGTGGGAGCTGCATGTTCCCGCAGGGCAGCAGGCTAAGGCATTGCAGCCACTTAATACCTCTCACGTGGGGGAAGTGGGAAGCAGGAAGCTTAAGCCCCTTGGGAATAAGGTAGAGGAATGTAACCCGCGCAGCCCAAGCCTGCTCCCTGGTGTGAGCGTGGGCTCTCGCAGCCCCTCGGTGCTGTGGCCCCGCGGGCAGCTGGCCCTGCAGAACAGAGGCTGCCTCTGTGTTGTYGCCTTGCTGGGAGCGGCTCCTTTGGCATCCTGGTGCTCACGCCTTGTGCAAGGCCCGGCAGAGATGTCTCCCCAAGTCACTGCCTGCCCTGGGAGCCTCCCCATTTATGCCCAGATCCTCTCCTATGTCGTTTTGGGCCGTGCTGCCAAGAGCCTTCCAGCTCTCCYGTGGTTTTTGGAAGCGAGAGGTGCAAGACTCTGTTAATACTGAGTCTGCCCACCAGTAGCAGCAGCCCCTGTCAGATGCCAGGAGGAAGGAGCAGCTCCCCAGGGGAGCAGGGGGTTCGTGCCTGGGCTTTGCTCTGCAGGGGTCGAGGTCTGCTTCCTGGGGGCAGCTGCAGAGGGGGCAGTGTCTGCATTCCCAGCTGTGCTCCGAGTGATTCCTGGCTTGGCTCCCCAGGCTGGTGGAGGTGAAGAGCATGGCTGACCGGATCATCAGCATGCGAACTCAGCTYGTGTCCAACCTCAAGAAAGAGGGATCCTCCCACAACTGGCAGCACATCACCGACCAGATTGGCATGTTCTGCTTCACAGGGCTGAAGCCTGAGCAGGTAAACACCGTTCCTGTCACCTCAGGATGCTGTTTGTCATCATCTTCAGAGGGATTTTCACTGCAGGTGCTTAAATGAGCCCATAGGAGCCATCCACCCTCTGTGAGGTCCTGCAACACTGGAGCATGTTGGGGACCTGTGTCCTGCCCTGCTCCCTGCCATGCTCACGGGGTTTCAAAGCAAATGTAGCCAGCTTATGTGTGAAAGGAAGCAGTCACCTAAAGCCACTCTGTGGTGACCTTTAGGGTCTGCTCAAGCCAAGTGACTGTCCTGGCTGAACATCTGACACCCTTGAGTATTGCCCAAGAGCTGAGCAACRTCTTTCACTTCCCAGTCCGGCGCTGCTGGCTCTGCAGGTCTGTGCTGTGGCTGCAGCRTCTGCTGGCCCCAGCTGCCAGCAGAGCTTTGGCTGCCCCTGAGCTCTGCCCTTTCCTCACAGGTGGAGCGACTGACCAAGGAGTTCTCCATCTACATGACAAAGGACGGCCGAATCTCTGTGGCGGGAGTCACGTCAGGCAACGTGGGCTACCTGGCTCACGCCATCCATCAAGTCACCAAGTAAAGACAGAGGTGTGCTTGGGAGCTGTTGGCCTTCCCTTCCCCRGTCTCTTGCTGCTTGTGGAAGAGCGGGAGAGGAAGGCAGCACAAGCAGAAGGCTTCCACCCACAGCACTTCAGGCTGCTGCTGAATGTATCTTGTAGATGAATCATTGTAGAGGCCTAGTTGAAATCCCCCTACGCTGCCAAGCAGGGGCACCATTGCTGGCTTCTACTGCCATCAGAACCATTCACCCCTGCGGTTCATGCTACCTCCCTCTGCCCCAGCACCCCTCTGCATCGGAGGAAGCAAATGGCCAGCGCTGCGGCACCTGTTGGCACCACGAGTGCATCCCYGTGCTCGTTCCTCCGTGAGGAGGTGTCCTGAGGCCGCGTGGGAGGGCTGCTCAGCTGCCCTGCCACCTCCTGAGCCTGCCCGTGCACCCTGCAGCCTCCRTGCTCCTTGCCCTGGCAGCTGGGCCTTGGGCTGCCCGGGGGGCAGGTGGCACCCAGGCTGACAGCCCGGACCAGGGTTCTGGGAGCTTGTCCCTGCTGCACTGCACCGTGCTCTCGGGCTAGCCCTGTCCGGCGGGGAGTCTCCTCTCGGGTGCCCTTCGTGGTGGTGGTTGGTGCCTGAGGCCCGTTCCATCCCTCTGAGCCTGCCTGGTTCTCCTGGCTTCACTCCCGTACTCTGGGGTGAAACAGCTCCTTGCCCCTCAACAAGAACATGCTCTGAAAACTACTGTGTTGGTCTCAGCCTCTCCTCTTCCTGTATTGGCCCCACCAGCCTGTCGCCGATCCCTGATCCTGTTGGCCTGGCACAGAAGAGGCTGTTTGTGTCCCAAAGTGGTGGGCCAAGACGTGGGGTCCCCTACGTGTGCTCTTGCATTAGGGTGTCCTGTGCTCAGCCGTGCTGCTGCTCCTGGAAGGGAGGGAAAGATCCTGAGGGAAGTCTGGGAGGGGACAACTTGGAAATCATCCTCTCGTTTTAAACTGAGGCCGGAAAGGAAGCCCAGGACTCGGATCTTTCAYCCAAGCAAGGTGACAGGGCTGGAGGAGCTGGAGCTTTCCTCCCACGCCAGTGCTGCCTCATCCTGTCCTTTCCACGTACCAACCATTCCCCTCAGGAGCTTGACAGTGCAGCGGCTAGTGTGTRTTCCAGGGATCCCCCGTAGCCAGAGCACACTCCCCACGTGCCCCCTGTCCCCAAGGCACCAGACCCTGGGTTAGAGCCCTCCAGGTGGAGGGCAGGCTCGTGGAGCCCAAGGGGCAACCTCCTCCGTTCAGCGCCCTTGCTTGCCCGGGGGCTCCTTGCCCCGTGCCCGGCCGCGGGAGCAGGGTGCGACGGGGGGGTCCCGCTGCGGCTGCCGCCGTCCCGCGGCTCTCGGGCCGCTCTTCTCCGCCGCACCGGGGGCTGCAGCGGAGCTTTCTGCGCCGCAGACTCGTCCCCGCCGAGCCGCGCTGCGCCCGCCGCGGCTGAGGCCGCTGTGCCCGGGAGCTGCAGCGGGGCCGGGGCCGCAGCCCGCGCCCCGGGGCCTCCCTGCCTCCCTCCCCGGGCCTCTCTGCAGCCCCGACAAAGACGGAGCCGGCGCTGGGCGCCGCCTGCCTCGTCCCGCGGGGAGCGCGGGGGCCGCGGCCGTTCGGGCCGGGAC